CTATGTCCTACAACCATAGTCATGAGTTGCGATTGTAATCCTCGCATAAACTTTCTAACTCTATAATCTTGTCCAAAATTTCCCATAGGATCGACTCTACTCATTAAAGTTTTGAATTTGAGAGCGTACTCACTGACTGTTTGACCAGATAATTGTTGTAGCATTTCCAGTTCTGACATCCATTTATTTTTTATTGTAGCATTAGCAAATTGTCAAGTAAATCGAGATACAAAACTGGTGTTACTCCCCAGGTTGTTCCAGTTATTGATATTTGTATATTCCTCTTCATACCATTTGGCTGCGACGTCTTTTAAATAACCTGCGGCTATTTGATATTTTCAGTTATCTTGCCATTGATTTGCAGTAGCAGCTCATTTAAAAGCTATAATCCATTCAAATGGATCTTCATCATCACGGCCATGAAAGTTACTGGGTTTGATAAGATTTAACTCTCTATTTGCTGCTGCGGCATTAATAGGGTTTACTAAAGTTAATCCTTGAAGAGTAGTTGTCATTTGTTGTAATAGGGCAGCCAATTGATTTGATGGAATATTTACGGTATTATTGCCTGAATTATTGCTTGAATTAAAAGTCGATTGTTGCTGTTGTTGTTGATTTTCACTAGTATACCCAAATCCAGAATAATGACCATAATTCAGAGGTTGTGACGTATTAAAAACATGAATGAAGTTTATGATGAAGAGAAATTAGCACTAACAAATGTCTCAAATTGAATAATTAATAGTTACAAAAGTTCTTTAAAAGCAGCCATTAAGAGTGTTTGTAATAGCCGCTCTTCTAATATACTTTCACAATAATAGTTACAATAATATATAGTAATAAGATATTAATTATATTTGTAATATTGATAATAAAATAAAAGTTTTTTCAAAATCGCATTTTAAATGTTATATTTAGTAATATATAATAAATTTTAGTCAGATTATTTTAATGTATTAAAACACTACAATTAATTATATTTGAATTTACAAATTTATTACTAATCGGTAAGTTCTGTTGTGATTTACTTTTTATTTAAATATTCAATCAATAAATCCTATTTTTTCATTTAAAATATTCAACTGATAAGTCTGAATGTGATTTATTTTTTCATTTAGAATATTTATGTATCAGACTATTAGATCTTAATCTGCATTCTGATTTAAAATTAGTTGTATAATGATTATAATATGAATTGCATTATTAATAGATCACAACTGATAATAATAAATACAACTTAATATTTCCCAATTGACATTTTACTATTGCATAATAGTTATGCCTATTAATACTTAATTTGATGCTAGTTTTTCATCATTAAATGGATGTATCTTTTTAAGAATATGAAAAAGAAATTAAAATTTAAATTATAAAATAATATATGAAAAGTTTTGTAATAGAATTTTATATCATATGAAATTGCTATTATGAAGAATAATTTGAAATAAGATATCTATAAATATAAGCTATATTATTCATATCTTGAAAATTAATTTTATTTATTCTAGAAGTCTTGAGCCAAATATATAATAAAAAAATATTTATCATAAAAAGTACACAATATATATAATCAGTTAATAGTATTATTAAAATTTTGTGAATTAAAGTATATTACTAAAAATTATTATTTTTCAAGAAACTTTAATTTTAATTAATTATATTAAGAAAGATAATATAATGCAAAATCTTTATAATAGGTATTTAAAAAAATATTAATAATATTTAATTTACTGAATAGATTTTAATCAAATAAAAAATTAATTTATATTTATAAAATAAATTAATTATAATAAAGGTTTTTTTAATTTTGTAAAGTATATAACAATAAGTATTATATAATATATATATGAGCCAATTAGAAATTAGAATTAAAATCATATGAAATAATTTATTTTATTTTATTTTATTATTTTATTATAAATTGCATCAGTTATTTGACAATGAAACTTATATTTTTTAACTGCAAACTCTACATTTTTTTACTAATATCTTTTTATAAATATTTATACACTGGTCTATTATAAATTACCAGATTTTTTACTATTTATAGAATTTATATATAAAATTAAAAAATTTTCACACATATAAAAATTTTTTCACACTTTATTTAACTGAATTTTTTTTTTAAAAAAAAAAATAAAATATCAAATACAAAATTTATTATTTGAAAAATTTAATTTAAATAAAATTAATATTTAGTATATCCGCCTTTAGCTTTAATTACTGCTTTAATATGATTGGGTAAGCTTAAAATTAAGCCATGAATTATTTTAATGCTGATTTTTCTTCATTCCTCTTATATCACATTAATTAACTTTTGTTTAGATTTAGGTAAAGACTTTCTTCTTTGAATTTGATAATCTAAATATTTCCATAAATTTTCAATTAAATTGAGATCTGGACTTTGTGCCACCCAATCTGATACTGGAATATTATGCATTCTCATCTACCAAACACTATAATTTGATATATAACATAAGGCTCCATTTTGGAATTAGGATAATTACTAACTTATGGTATAAAATTATTAGCTAAAATATTAATATATTTATCAAAATCTATATTCCCATCTATCATAACTAAAGGTCCAACTCTATGCTAACTAAAACAACCCTAAAACATTACCTATTCTTCACTAAATTTAACTGTAGGATGAATACAATTGTTATTATATATTTCTCTAGGATTTCTCTATACTTTTATTTGATCATCTGACTCAAAAAGAGCAAATCTTGACTCATATTATCATATCATTTGTTTCCATTCTTTTCAGTTTCTTTTTTCTTTGCACTATCTCAAATGATCATTATGCTATTTTTTAGTCAAAAGAGATTTTTTACATGTAGAATAACTACCAAGACCCATATAATAAAGATACCTTCTAATAGTACTATTATATAAAGTTATGTTAAAATTTGAGTTTAGTTTATCTGTTATATCACCAAGGAGAGAAAACTAATTAATGCAGATTATATATTATAAAGCCTGAGTATTACATTGAGAGAGGTTTTTAGACATCTAAGATATTTTTTAGGTGTCACAAAACCTGTTTCTTTATATTGTTTAATTATACCATTTATTGTATTAGTAGGAATATCAAGTTGAATTGAAATAACATTTTGCCTAACACTATTCAAATAAGCGCCAATAATACATTCACATTAGGTTTCTAACAGTTCGTTTCTATGCATTTAAAACTAAAAGAGAAACAAAAAACTATTATTTTTTGTTTATATATACAATTAGTGAAATCATCAATTGTGAAACTGAACGCTGATTCACATGACTAAAAATCTGGTAATTTATGGTAGACCAGTATATAATGTCATGATTTTTATGCAATTTTTAAATTGTAATTAAAGAAATTGAATCTAATGCTTTAGGAATAATTCATTAAAATTCAACTTATGTGTAATTATATATTTTTTTTACTGGATCCTAATACATCTTTTATATAATTCAATTTACAATATTATTTAAGTTAAAAATATACAAATGATAAAAAAATGTATTTTGAATTTCTTTCCTGTTTAAGTCACACATGTGTATATGAACAGAGTCGTTAATGATGAATAGCTTATTAGTTATTTAAAAAAGGTCAAATTTAACCTTTTAGTCAAAAGTAATAGTAGTTATAAATTCATTATATATTTTTTTCAATTTCAGTTTTTTAAATAATTTTGAATAAACTTAACCTAGTATAACTTTATTAATATTAAAGATAATAAAATTTTATTCTAAAATTCTTAAAGTACAGATCATAGTTTATTTATTTTATAGATTAAATTTTCAAGTTTATATATAATAAAATTTTTTATTACATTTTAAATTTGTTTTATTATTTATTATAGCAAAGTTACTATTATAGAGGTTCTACTCTGTAGCAATATTAAAGATATATTAGAACATTCATATAATATATTACAGGTTCATTTAAATAAACTCCTTAATAGAGAAAGAAAGCATTCATTAATACCTTTGAATTACATTACTTATTTGAGTATAAATGATATGTATATACTAATTAGTTTAGCAAAAGTCAATGCAATATCTGTGACAAACAAGTGTTCAAGTTGTAAAAGAAAATGTTACACCAGAATTTATTAGACTATCAACAGAATTTATTATGAAGTATCATAAAGGTACAGGTTTAAATATTGAAAACACTAAAAATGATATTTCTTTCTTAGGTACATTGTTATAGGATTGCCAAAGATTTTTTACAAAGATTCAAGAGAATTTTTGACTGAAACTTTCTGAAGTATCTAACCCTGAATATCACAAGACAAAAGGTTTCTCTCCTAAACGCCTTAAGTCATTTATTGAAGAATCAAGAATGTTTCTGTTAATATTAAAGGTCATAATATCTAAAGTTATGCAAAATATAAGGTGGAAATAAAGAGAATATTTAGTTAGCGTAGGGTTAGAATGGATGTTTAGGATTAAACGTGGAGAAATAATTGCTTAAGCTTAGGGAAAGGTTAGGTATATTTGTTTGGGATTATATACTAATTACACTTATTGTAAATCGAAAGTTGTATAAATTTATTATTTGCTGCGCATAAATACTAATCATGTGATATCATAATGATCACAAGATACCGGTGACGAACACCTATTTATGCATTTATAGTTTTTAAAATATTAATAGCTAATATAATTTAAAAAAGAAATAATTTTGTTAATTAGATCAAAGATTAATTATTACTAGACATTATGCACCATATTTAAAATTAATGAATCCCTTATCGTTATGTGAATCTTCGTTTCATTTAATGTAACACAACTTTATAATTTACATTCCAATTTTGCATACGTAAACAACTAATTTATGTGTGCTTTTAACAAGCCATATATTTATATAAATGATTGTCTTGATATTTTATTTTTTATACAATTTCATGATATTTAAGTGTACTTTGATAATAAACTAATAATACATGGATGAAAGAAAAAAAAATTTTTATGGTTTTTTTTACAGATGAAATGTTGAATAATGTTTACAAATAATTTATATGGAGTATTTTCCCATTTCCACCCTTGATTCCGGTATCTATGGTGATGAGATAAGAGAGTGCAATTTGCGTGGTCACATTTGTAATAGAAACCTTATTCTCGGTAATATTTAATGCAGTGAACAGATGATATAAGAAAGCGGTCACGACGGTCAACAAATTCCAATACATGACAAGGGTAAACATATCTTTTGGATAAGAATATCCAATCTTTGGGTTATTTTTTAAAATCTGCATCAATCGATACATGACGTAACCATCGATAATGATATCAATCAAGGTCAAATTACTGAAATAAAAACCGCTTTCGCTTTTCATTCCATCATAAAGAGAAGTGGGATTTTCAGAAAGTTTGTGTGGAGGAATCATCAGGTAACTATATCCTAACTAGTATCAAACGAAAAGAAAGAAAAAATTGAAATTAATTGCAACATTACAATGAATACATCATCATTTAATACCTACATGAAATCCTGCTCTAATCATAAGCAATCCAATACTCATCCACATCTCAGAATTGCTTTTCTCATATCGTCTAAGAAGTGTCAACATAAAAGCGGCCAATGATTGCGTGATGAAAATCTTAAAAATAGTTTGATAGTTAGACCACACACATTCTTTTAAAGATATGTTTAACACCAAATCAATTACGGAGCACGCCAAGCAACTAAGATTAAAAATAATCTTGAGCAAAGACAAGCTCCTTTCTCGTCCAGTGCGATAAAGAAGAACAGATTTAACGAGGTTTTGAAACGTGAGCTGAGAAAACATGAAGTGAAGAGTTAGAATAATAAGTATATACAGTATTTGAAAATTGACAACCAAAACATTTATGATAATTAACTAACCATGTTTAACATTCCAATCAAGAGCAAATTGAACTTAATTTCATTAGACTTATTTTCCATTTTGACGCGTTAAAATAATTAATATTTTTTGAATTTTTTGTTCTCTTAGGTATTGGAGAAAAAAATTTTTATTTGCGACGGTTCGAATTATAACTGGTATTTATAGTAATTGTTTTTTTTTATTTATGTTGTGGAAACATTAAATTGTTAGGAATTATCGGATTGACAATGCCGATAGGAAACATACCAAATAGGCAATACAATTATATCACAAATAAATCTGATTGTGTAAATTTTGGAAGGATCGACGGTTTACTTTAAGACATGATAAATAAACTATTAAAGAATTATTAATTAAAGTTGCCGGAATACTACACAGGCTGAGACTATTAAATTCGTGTTTAAATTCATGTAATCTTAGTCTTTAACCTCAAGTATTAAGACATTTGTGACATCATCTTCAACGTATTCAGGTTCTTTTTCTGGACATATTGTTACATCATCATCTTCGACACTTCTAGGTTCGGTTCTTTTGGCGGTTCGATTCAGGACTTCTTGGTTCAGGATCTTGTCGTTTTCGAAAAATGCTGATTGAATTTTTTCAGTTCATGTTGGATGGCATAATTAACGGTGGTAATAAATACCGCAACCACGTCGCTTGTATTTAATTTTGTCATACTTGACATAATTGAAAATTAGAGGAATTATTGTTTTCGATACTACTCGATATATTTTTTATAATCATTTTATACTTTGTAGATTACCAAATTTTTCTTTACCCTCGTATTACTTACTATAATATTATGATCAGATAAGATGGTAACGTCGTACATACAAGACGTTACATTGTTTAACAAACAAAAAATGTAACTATCCCTTTTTTTGTCATTTTATTTTAAATTTAGTTACATAACATACTAAAAAAGAAAGTTATAATTCGATGGCGTTAGTTATGAATTAAGTATTGTTTGATAATCATTGATTTTTATAATCTTAACGTTAATGATTGTATTGAAAATCGTTAAATTTATAGTCTAAAAACAATACTAACTTTGTTTTCATAATCTAAAAATAGCCACCATGGTTAGGTCCGAATCGAAACGTCTATAAATTTCATTCGAAATTTTTTTTTTTATGGTTCAAATGTATCACGAAAATCCTTTTTTTTTTTATATTTTAAAAAAAATAATTGCTGATTGTTCCTGCTAGGGACCGGAAACCCGGTCCGAACCCGTGTTTCGGGTACGGTTCTCTTGGTACAGTAAATTGAAATTAAAACTTTGATCGTTAAGTTAAATTACGTCAATTCTGGCAAAAATTATAAATTAATTAAATTTAGCCTCGGATTATATTTTTATAATGAAATATGCTTTTTTTTTTTTTTTAAAAAAATAAAAAAGGAAATAAAATGTCAAATTTAACTGTTGACAGTTGTTTTAAATTTAAAAAGGTGAATTAAAATGTCAGAAAAAAAAATCGGAAAAAGTGAGGTTTTAATGAAATTATAAACACAGTAAAACAATCAACAGTTGATAGTATTTTACATTAATTGTTTTGTTCTGCATCATTTACGATCCATTATTATTACATATTAGCCAATATTTCAGTTTTTCCATTATTACACTTTTCAAAGAAATTTATCCAGTCCAGTCAATGCAATTAAACGCGTCAGTAAAGTATACCAACAAAAAATTTAAAAGACATGGCAAACCCATCTAAAGAATATTTCGTTCCATTTATTAAATATTAGCCACTGATTATTCCAGTAAATTCGGTCTCGCGTTAGTAAGTATAAAATAATTAAATCAAAAGATAACCAAGGCACAAAGCAACCAACCCACAGAATATCGATATCACTTCATCATTTATGATTCATATTAGCCATATGTGATTGGAAAATGATAGAGATGGTGCACAAGCTTTACGATCAAATATTCCTTGCATTTAATATTCTGACATTATTTTTTGCTATAATAACTGGCGATAGTCTTGCTGAAAACCATGCAAAGAAAGAAAGTACCCGCTTATGCAAGCTTTTTGTTTGCTTAATCAATGCTAAAATTTAACCAATCATAGCAACTCTGAAAAAAAAAGATGGTTTGTAGATTTTTTGATTTAAATCATCACGCTCTATTTTTTTTTTTTTTTGATTTTTAGCCAATCAAATCATTCAATAAATCAATCACTTCCGTTAATACATGCATTTAGTTATTAATATTTTTTTCATAATATGGGTCCGTTAGTAAAGCAAAAATTTAAGCAAAAAAAAAACCATTCCTCCATTATCCACGATCCATTCCTTACATATTAGCCATTGATCAAATCCAGTCCAACCAAATTTACCATTCTTATTAATATACAATATTATTGATATCTTTCCGTTATTACATAATTCAAACAATTATCCCAATGCAGTTAATACAATTGGATATGTTAATAAAAGTATATATATATGAATAAATTGACAAAAAAATAAGGCCCAGTTTGTAAAATATATTATACATTATACATTCATAATTTCTTTCTCTCCTCTCCATCATTTCACAATCCAGAGAGTTGCCTGAAATTCCAGTTCACAGAGAATTTATTCTGTTATACAATTGCATCTTTTACACCATATTTTATTAACAACATTAGCCACTGATTATAACACAAAGAATAGTACCATTCTATAAAAGTTTACGTCAATTATCAATGTCATACTTATTCGTACACATTATCTATTAATACATTTCCGTTATTACACGGATCCAAAAGAGCCAGTAAATGCAATAAATCGCATAATAAAAAAAATTTAAAACAAAAAACCAAGACATTGCAAAATCAGTTCACAGAAATTTTATCTATAACATGTTCATAATACGTACACATCTCCCAATAAATTGTATTATTACGACCCAAAGTTGTTTAGTCCAGTTAAAAAAGATTGAATGCTTAAAAGTAAAAAATGATACATAAAGCAAAAGAACTAAGAAAAAGCAAAACCAGTCCACAGGAAATTTCATAATGAAAGTGTTTATATGTAATCCTCCTTTTAATATTCAAATATTTTATCTTGTCAATATATTTGAACCATAATTTTTTGATGTCCGCTAAAAATTAAGGAAAACCAAACCCAATTCCAGAAAATTTTGTTATAATGTATATCTATTATACAATTTCGCCACTTTTCCTTCATTTTGATGTTATTTATCTCTTATCTAATCAAGAAACAAAATAATTCCAAAAAAAAAATGATGTAACATTGATAAAATACGTAAAAATGAATATAAATAACATATGATCGCTGAATTGGAAAATTCCTTTTTTTTATTATTATAATCTTTTAAATGTAAAGTTTTATTTATTTTATTTTCTATTTATGATAATTTATAACGTAAAATTTTATAAAAAAAAAAATAAACTGTCGACACAATGATCGTGTCGATGAAATGATACTGCGGTGAAACGTTTGTCGGTGAAATATGTCGGTGAAACATATGTCGGCCAAATGTTCCTGTCGAAGTGTTTGTCGGTAAAATAATTGGCGGTAAATAGTTTGTCGGTGAAATGAACCGAACCCATTTCGATATATCTAAAGATTAACGGCAGCAAACTTTGAAAATCGTCTTATTCAAAGTGTTAGCGCATACTAATTTATTAAATAGGCACATGGACTGAAGTTCCGAAATTACAAAAACAGCAAAAGTTTTAAGTGCCGCGACTTCATAGGAATTTTGATATTGCAAAAGGCTGTGTATTTATTTTTCAAGGTAATTAAGCAAATAAAAAATTCAATCATTATATAGAGAAAACAGTTAGCTTTTTTGAAATAATTTATTATAACTTAAATATCATCGCAAGAAAAGGTACGCATAACAAATTTTCTATGGTTAAAATTAAAATAAACACTATCGCATATTTACCTTCTCTTGTACCAAAATTAATCTGTTAAAGTGTTTGAACAACTCATAATGCATAATATTAAATTTATTTTTCCTACATGTGCACATTGTACGAGGGAATGATGAGCCACGTACCATCTGATAACCTTATTGGTCACCGCACCCTACATCTTTTTATTTAACGTCGACGCCATCTGTAGTTAAATGCTGGTTGGAGTGAGCCCTAATTAAAAGCTACGAGCCATCTAAAATGTGTCCAAGCCTCTTGCTAGACTTTAACGATCAATAGACAAGAAAAAGAATGCAAGACCAAAAGCTTCTTAATTATTGTTTATTTTAAAAACATAAATTGACAATAGGCGTTGATATTCAGAAATAACATAACCTTAATAAAATGAATTGATCATTTGTTCGAGCGTTATTTGGCCAGAAGACCTGATTCACCGTTTCGCGTTAGACATAATTGGCATTGATTCTGAGTTCATAAATTCTCATCCTTTGAGATTATTTGGTTAAACTGACCTATATTTATAATTCAAAACGCATTTTTAAAAAAAATATTTGATGAGACGCCAATTTAATATATCATTTGCATATTTTAATTAAAATAAATTAAAGTTTAGAAAAAGTTAATTAATATAATAAGTAATTGAAGTAGACTTCATATTCATATTTTAAATGAAAGATTAAAAAAAATTAACAAAATCTTTAAAAGTATTGTATTTGAATGATATATATAGGAAGAATAAAAGTGGTTATCATCTTTTTACTTTTAATATGTTATATTAACTAATGAAAAATAAATATCTAATAGCATTTTTGATAAGTTAATACAAATTATCATCAACATTGAGAAATAGCATCTAATTATCTTTATAGTTGATGATGAATAACTTAAAATATTCTGTATTATAAGTAAAATTTAACAAAGATGAATTAGATATTTCTTCATAAATTTGTATTTGTTATAATTTTAAAATATATTTATTATTATGTAAATATATATTTGTAGTTATAAATCGAATTCAGAATGAACAATATGATTAGTTTTCAGATCCTATATCATAGAGCCTATTAATTTTCTAAATCAAGTTATTTTTATAAGTCAAGAGAAAATTGAAGTGGATAAAAATGTTGAAATTTAAAATTACAAAAGAACTTGCTGCAATTACTGCAAAATGGAAAAACAAGAGGGAAGAAGGTATTTAAAGCTTATAAGTAGCTCTTTAGCAAGTTGTTCAATTAATTGCCTTAAAATTATACTATAAGTTAGTATTAATGATGATCTGGTTATCTCAAATAGCTTTAAATGTATTATTCAAGAAACTAAACAAGTTTAATTTCTAGAATGATCATTTAATTTGTCAATTTCGTTAATAGAAATTATTTAATAATACTTCATAGCAGATGTTTTAATAAAATTATTTATCTTGTTTATATTCTAAAAATGAAATTTCAGAAGTTTTGCAATAAACAAAATTGACGGACGACATTAGGTGTGACGGGAAATTTGACGCAGAAATTTTTATGCCGATTGATACGTGATATTACGTAATTGATTTTTGACCAACCAATAAGTCTGGACGGATATTCGTAAAAGTGTAGATGGTGTAACCAAAAAATTCTCACGAATGTTCAAAAATTTTTTGTCACATAAAATACTTACACATTCGATATTTGTGTTTCCTTTTAATGATTTAAGTCTTCATTAAAATGAAATTTTTTTGTCTATTCTTTTATTTCTTATAACAAAATATATAACGTTTTAGTTTATATTTTCTTAGATTATTTTAACAATCATA